TTGTAGATAGTTTTGTTCTGTGTTATCTCAATTAGATTCCGATTTACATAATAAGCACTTAACTTAGGGTCATGTGCTTTGTGGTGTGGTGTGTGGACCCAAATAATAATTACAGAGTAGAGTCCAAATAATATTCCAAAAAAATAAGAAATATGCATATAGGTATATGATCAAATTGTGCATATGTAGAGATTATTTGCGTGTTAACATACAATATTAACGGGTCATGATGATCGATAAAAAAAAACTATAGATTGAAGATTCAAGAATTGTTAGTACCCAAAATATAAATTTAGTAGTTGACCTTGTCGGTGACGCGATAAATTTCACAAGCCTCTCATGACTCATATTTGTATTGCTCACTTGATCTTGACTGAGACGACTCCGATTGTTATCTGGATAAAAAATATAGCACAAAAACTTTTTTTTAGAATGAAATGAAGAAGATATAGTCATATAGACCATGGTAGAAAATAGTGTTATCACTTATCATGCATCATCATCAATCATGCAATACAAAACTTGGTTCATGGTTCATATATATTAGCCCGAGATCATCAGTGGTGGATAATACCAATTATTTTGCTACCATTATTACAATCCATGATTATGAATCAGTTTTCTGAAAGCCGTGCTTGATTGTTTTTTTTCCAAAACCAATGGTTGATTGTGTTAGATTAACAAGTTTTTTTTTTTACCATTTATGTATTTTCGATTGCTATTGTTTCTCCAAGTTCCAATACATTCTTTTTGGTTTTTTTTAACTTTTGTTTGTTTCTGTTTATTTCTATTACTAATACTATAATCGAGCATATTATACGGTCCTACATGTATATAACCACAACCAATCAAACATTTTAGTTGTTGTAGATTCTTTCACAATAATTAAAATTAATTTTCAATCACAACCAAATGTGTCGACCTCACCACACATAAACCAAAATACTTAGAGCTTTTTGCTTCTACAACTACAACAATCTTATCTAAATCATTTCACAAATCTCTACACATCTAAATCCTTAGGGATTGTATATGTTTTGGATATGAGATGGTATGGCCAAACTACAAAGGCAGCTTTGATTGGTCCACCAAACCCTATAATTTAAAACCCCACAACCATTTATAGCCTTGTGAATTATGATGCATCACACTCATAACTATCTTTAGCTTTTGCCCATATCAATACCAATACATTCATAATTGCATGTCTGTTTAAAGATTCGATGTTGACTCATCGGTCTCTTACTCT